TATGAACAGATGATACTGAATAGAGTTTTAAAAAAAAAAAAGATGGTTTCTAAAAATGGTTTTATTTCTTACTGAAGTAATAATTCCAGGAAAAAAACATGAATTAGCAACATAAAACTTCCACTGTTAATAACAATAAGAATCAAGCAGAAGATCATTGGCGAAACAGGATCCATAAAAAGAGGAAAAAAGATAAGTATTTTTGGCGCTCTTACTTTTTTTATCTTTATCTTTTCTCTTTATTTTTCCAAATTAAATTTCATGAAGCCGAGGTCAACGGTGATGAGTGAAGAACTAAAATTGGCAACTACGAAAAGGTGTGAAGAAATTTGTGATGATTAACCCGTAACTGAAGCACCGACACTGATATTTGGTTCTGTTGACGGGCAGCGGCAAACTACAGCCCAGTGGACACAGAAACCTTTTGTTTTTTCCTCCCCCTCTTCTCCCTCCCCCCTCCTCCCCCTCCCCAATCTTGCTTTACCTTCTCGTCCCCTCATCTCCCTCCCCTACGTATGTGGGCGAATAATCAACATAAAAGAAGCAGAAAAAAAGTACATATTCAAAATATAGGTTAATTTGTGCAAAAAAAAATTTTTTTAATTGTAAACTCAAACTGTCCTTCAGACTGTTTGGTTTTTAAAAGAATTTTTACTTGGAATCTATAAAAAAGAAAAAGGAATAAGGTAAAAGAAAAAACTGAATAAAACCTGTCTACTTATTCAAGCTGTAGCAGCATTTCTACCATTTTTTTCTGTCGTTGTTTTGTTTCGTTTTTCTTTTCGTCATCTCGAAACACATCAATTTGGACTACCAACACAACTTTTTGTTGTTGTTGTTGTTGTCGCTGTGCTTTGAAACTTTTCATAAAACTACTTCGCCTGTTATTGTTGCTGTTCGTTGGCTGACAAAGTTATTTTGCCTGTCTTCTGCAACAGCGCTTCAGGATTTTTGAACTATCTGTTGCTCTGTAGCCACTATTTTCCTTCTTGATCATTTTTCCTATGCTCTTTAAAACGTCTATATGTTCGGTATAATGTCAAGAAAAAAAATGACAAAAATAAAACAGCTGTTTTATTTCTAATTGCTTTTAACACTTATTTGACTTACATTTTTATAATTTCGATATACTAGAGCAAAAAAAGCACACTAAATTTTCGGAAAAGTTATTCAAGTAGTATAAAATGATCTTAGCAGCAAATGCCTAGACAGGATATCTATAAATACGATAAAATTGTTGGATAATAGCCGACATTTTTTGTTACGTTGTAAAATGAGATCAGTTTATTTGCACACTACAGGCTCAGCTGGTTTTGTTGCCAGTGCTTTTACTGCTGACGATGGTGATGGTGAAGATAATGACTTTTTTTTTGTATGAAACTTCTTCTTAACCTAAACTTTATCGGTACTATTTGTTTAAACAATGACGTAATAGTTACCGAAAATAAAGGCAACATTATGTGGTATATTTTGGAGCTTTTTTTTTGCTTCCTGTCTGGACGACAATATAGATGAAGAATTGACTGTTGTTGAATGTTTTAACAGAATCAAATGGGAGTTATATTTTCGTTGCTTTATTTGCGCTTCAAGTAATTTCACTCGTACAAAACCAGTATTTGATAAAATTGATACCAAATGATAGCAAATACTTTAGTATCAATGAGAAGTTTCTTTTCAAACCTGTATAAAAATGTTTATTGAA